TACAATAACAATCTACTGATCTTACTTAGATTTCACCAGTTTTATATGCATTCATTTGTGCAGGCCTACGTCTTCAGTTCTATGCAATTTTATTCCATGTGTAGATTTGTGTAATCAATACCATAGTCAAGATAACAAAACAGTTCAAGCACCACAAGGACCCCTTGTGCTACCCATTAAGAAGTCATTTATTGGCTGGGCATGGTGGTGCACCCTTGCAATTCTAGTGACTGGAAAAAGGCTAAGGCAGGAGGATCACATGTTTTAAACTAGCCTCAGCAACTCAGGGAGGCCCTAAGCTACTCAGCAAGAACCTGTCTCAAAATAAAGAGGACTGGAATGTGGCTCAGTAGTAGAACATCCCTGGGTTCAATGACCAGTACTACTAAGAAAAAAAAAAAAAGTCATTTATTTTATAAAGTCAAAGACTTTTTTGTTTATTTATTGGGTAGTGCTGGGAATAGAACCTAGGGCCTCACAAATGGTAGGCAAGCACTCTACCAATGCAATACACCCTCAACCCCAAAGTACTGTTATTACCACAGAAATCCTGAAGTTCTTCACTCATATCTAAGTCCCTTAAGACATCAGTTAAGCCCACTGTTCACATTGTAAGAAACAAATTTGAGTGATATTATCATTCATGTCATTTAAATGATAACTGTGACTATTTAAAAAAATGTAAAAGTATACATAAAACAAAGAAAAAGAACACAAATCTTTAAATTCAATTATTTACTCATCCATATAAAATGTTTGACTTATTCACATTATCCTTAGAGCTGGCTAAAATGAAAGACAGCTGTCTCAACCTATCACACACAGTTGGTTGCCCACAAGTGAAAGTTTATGGGAGTATTACAACTATATATTTGTAAAAAATCTGTATCTAGGATTATGTGTACATGAATAGTTTGGGAGGTAATGGTGGGCATGCAGAAGTTTAAACATGTCATACTCTACTAGACTAGAGGGATACGTTGGGGGATTTTTTCTCCTCTTTTGGGTTTAAAATTCTTCTAAATACTAACCAAGTGTGGTAGCCATGCCTATAATCCCAGCACTCAGGAGGCCGAGGCAGAAGGATCATAGGTTTGAGGGCAGTCTCAGCAACTTAGCAAGGACCTATGCAACCTAGCAAGACCCTGTCTCAAAATAAAAAATAAACAGTGCTGGGGATGTAGCTCAGGGATTAAGCACTCCGGGTACAATCCCAAGTACCCAAAACACACACACACACACACACACACACACACACACAAAGTTGTTATAAATAGTTAAACACATGCACTGGATTTCTGAGGTCTCCAGATGGTATCAGGGAGGGCTGATCATAAAATATTTGCTCTGGGTATTTCTTGGCAGCTGATAGCCACTGGATGTCCAGATGGGACAAACCTTTCTTCCCTGCCTCTCTGTACTCAGGCTCAGGAAGGGAAAATGTAAGGGAAAGAACAAGAAAGGAGTCAGAAGTCAACTGCCCAACTGTATTGGTCTACCCAGGACCGAAGGGATTATCAAAATGTGTGACTTTCAGTGCTGGGAGAGTCCCAGGCAAACTGGGACAAGTTGGTCACTCCGTCCTGAAGGTTGTTGTCTGTGATGCCCTGGAGCTTAAAGAAATGAAGCAAACCTTTTGTTGTTGTTGTTGTAGTTCAGAACCTGGGGGTGGGAAAGAATGGAGGGGTAATTTGGAAGAGAATAAGGTGACCATGACACTTCTTGAAAATTTAAGCATCCACCTTCCTTTGGCCTACAAAAAAGTTACCATAGCTGAATTATACAATCTGATTTTTAGTTTCACGCAAAAGAAATGGAAAATAATTCTGGTAGATACACATATTTTTAAAGACTAAGCTCAAACAGGATACAGAGGGGGAAAAAAAGATTACCTGTCAAATAAGAGAAAAGCATTTAACTTTATAGAGTGGGTGGAATACTAACACAGTGAGCAATTTTATAAATTAGGCACTTCAGCTTTTAAAGACACATAATACTTCTCATAATTTCTAAATTGAGTCACTTGTCCATCCATGAAGTTTGACTTAAATGCATTTTTCTTAGAGTTGGTTAAACTGAAAGACTGTTGCCTACCAGTGAGAGAACTAGAACACAGGCAGGGATCTAAAAGATGCCTGAAATTTTATATCACATGTACCTAAGTCACCTTTAAGGGTTTATGTTTGAGGCACTATGCTCAGCACAAATGGACATTTCTGTGTCCATGCATATTAGGCAAGCACACTACTACTAAGTTATACCCTTAGCCCATGCATACAGTTTTTACTCTTAAGCAAACCACAGCATCAAAATGAGGCACAAATGGACATGTTTTTCTTTTAAAAGATTCAGACTCAAAACAAGATATACAATGAATTGCCTTAATAACAATGTCAGGGAAATTCTATGGGATCTCAGGTGAGGTGGCCAGGCTCTACAATCAACCTGACCTTAATCCGGTCCCTTTCCTCCAGGACCTAACTTCGAGTCTTATCTCCCTCCTGAATTTTCAACTATCTCCAATTATAGTACTCCATTTTTAACAAATGCAATCATTCATTCAAGTCTATTCTGTGCACCACCACCACCACCACCACCCCACCCAAATAAAACTTGTCTTGATACTATGCTTTAGGGTCGCCAGATTTAACAAATAAAAACGGTTCACTTAAACCTGAACTTCAGCCGGGAATGGTGACACACACCTATAATCCCAGCAACATGGGAGACTGAGGCAGGAGGATCCCAAATTCAAGGTCAGCCTTAGCAATTCAGCAATTCTGTATCTCAAAATAAAAAGGACTAGAGATGGGGGCTGGGATTGTGGCTCAGCGGTACAGTGCTTGCCTAGCACGGGCGGGACCTGGGTTCGATCCTCAGCACCAAATAAAAATAAAGGCATTGTGTTGTGTCCATCTACACCTAAAAAAATAAATATTAAAAAAAAAAAAAAAGGACTAGGGATGTAGCTCAGTGGTAAAGCATCTGTGGATTCAATCCTCAGACACTCCCTGTTCACACACACATATACACACACAAAAAGAAAAAGCCCAAACTTCAGCAAAACAATGAATTATTTTAAGTATAAGAAATGTCCCACCCAGTGCAGAGACACACACCTGTAATCCCAGCTACTCGGGAAGCTGAGGTAGGAGGATCACAAGCTCAATGCCAGCCTGGGCAACCTAGCAAGAACCTGTCTCAAAATAGAATAACAAGTACTGGGGATATAGTTTAGTGATAGAGAATCTGAGAGTCTGAATTCAACCCACAGTACTTCAAGGAGAAAGAGAGAGAGAGAGATAGATCACATGTACTATTTGGGTCACAAACTAAAATAATTTATTAGAGACTCAGAAAAGTAGGAACAAAAAATAAAAGGAACTCCCTCAACATTATAAAGGGTTTATGAAAAAACCCACAACAAACATCATAATTGGTGAAAGATTGGAGCTGGGGATGTGGCTCAAGTAGTAGCGTGCTCGCCTGGCATGCGTGAGGCACTGGGTTTGATCCTCAGCACTACATAAAAAATAAAATAAAGATACTGTGTCCACTTAAAGCTAAAAAATAAATATTAAAAAAAAATTGGTGAAAGATTGAAAGCATTCAAGGAACAATAAGGATACCTACTTTCACCAATTCTATTCTTTATCTTACTAGAAGTTCTTGCCAAAGCAATCAGGCAAGAAAAAGAAATCCAAAGTGGAAAGAGAAACATAAAGCTGTCTCTCTGTTCAGACAACATGAGCTGACATACAGAAAATTCTAAAGGATCCAAACAATAATAACAACAAAAAACAATGTGAGCTAATAAGTGAATGAAGCAAAATAGCATGTTTGACAGATCACGATCAAAGGCCAATGGAACTAGGTATGAGGGCACATGCCTATGATCCAACTACTTGGGAAGCTGAAATAGGAGCATCCCAAGTTTGAGGCCAGCCTGAGTAACTGAGGCCCTGTCTCAAAAATAACAAGGGCTGGGGATATAGCTCAGTGATAAAATGCCCCTGGGTTGAATCATCAATATGGAAAAAAAAAAAAATGAAAAAAAGACTGAAGTGCTGTTGGACAGAGTGAGAAATCTTCTCTGAAGAAGTGAGAGAGAGACCTTAACAATAGGAGGAGGGATCCCTCTTTCTTTTGTAGTGTGGGGGAATCAAACCTCATATATGGTAGGCAAGCAATCTACCACTGAACTACATCTGTAGTCCAGAGTGATCCCTTTTGAAATTTTCACAGACCCCAACTGTTTACTAAAATTACTTATATTGTTATTTACACAGAAAATCTCTATGTTGGTGACTCTAGTATAAGCAAAAAGGAATCAACAAAACCTGTCCATGGGACTACCTGATTTGAAAGGTAACTCATTTTCTTCCCATCTGGGCTACTTGCCATGAAAAACATTCATCAGATTTGGGAACTACTGGCCTCTTAGGCTCTTATATAATTCTATTTTTCTAGGTCCAATTTTAAGAAGAAAATATGGGAGGCCTGGAGAGAAGAGTTTATGCAAGAAGTGTAGAAATGTGGAATAGGGAGCTAAGAAGAAGATATTAACTCCAATTCTGAAATTGGAAGAACAAGCAACTAAGGATAACCAATCAAATCTAAACAAAAATGAGAACTTTTATTTTAGACTGTGAAGAACACACACAGAGGTAAAGTCCTGAAATGTAAGTAAAGCTGTGATTCTTCTTTAAAACAAAGAATATGATAACTACTTTTATAAAAATTGTCTTTACACAATACCTAAATTTTTATTCTAAAAGCTTAAAATAATTGAGACATAAGGCTAGTAAACAAAGTGCAACAGGAGGGCTGGGGTTGTGGCTCAGATATAGCGCACTCGCCAGGCATGCTTGAGGCACTGGGTTCAATCCTGTGCACCATACAAAAATAAAATAAAGGTATTATATCCACCTACAACTAAAAAATATTAAAAAAAAAAGAAAGAAGGAAATAAAAACTGCAATAGGAATTACTAGACCATGGACATTTTAAAATGTTTATTACTTACTAAGAGTAATATGCACAAATTAGCAATAACTTATTACTGCTACAGGTCACAATTAATTCACAGTTAACATATATTAGCTCAATCTGTAACAGATAACACCATGATTAATTCTCTTCAACAGATTATTTTATTACTAAATTTACATTCTGGCTTTTATAATTATTTTGCTCTATAAATTGAGTATGATTTTATTCAAAATGCTCGGGACCAGGTTGGGCGCAGCAGCGCACACCCGTATTCCCAGTGGCTGGGGAGGCTGAGGCAGGAAAATAGCAAGTTTAAAGCTAGCCTCATCAACTTAGAGAGGTCCTAAGCAACTTAGCAAGACCCTGTCTCAAAACAACAACAAAAAAAAGGGTCAGAATGTGGAGCCTCTGGCTCAGTTCCTAATTAAAAAAAAAAAAAAAAAAAAAAAAAAGCTTGAGACAAGAAAGACTTTGAGTTGCTTCAGATTAAGAAATATCTGCATAGACTACCATTTGAATATCCCTAATCCAAAAGTCTAAAATCCAAAGTGAATGGTCATGGTGGTATTCAAAGTTCCAGATTCTGGAACGTTTTGGATTTTCAAATTAGGGATGCTCAACCTGTGTACACCAACAGTTTAGAGTAAAAATACCCATGAAAGCCCTTTAGAGAACAGAAGTGAACACTTTCTCATGGAGGAAAGCCAGCTTCTCTAAACGAGTTCGTTTTAGTAGTGGGAGCCATTCCCAGTAGGATAATTCTACCACATGGTACCCAAGCCGAACCAGCTGCCGCCTCTTCATATTGTGCAGTCCAAGCAGATCCCTGGAACCATAGCAATATTGGTTCCTGTTCGTCAACTGAATAGCCAGCTTCACTGGTGGGGCCTGCACATGGGCTGAGGGATGCAGGCCAGTCATCTCCACAGCTCCCAATCTACCTGCCATATTTGAAAGAAAATTCCCCAAGGATTCTTTCTCTGACTTTACAGGCTGCTGCAAAGTCTCTGACTCACTGTTCCCCTGGAAATGCCCTCTTGCTTTCCCTTTCAGCAACTGATTCATCAAATTATCTGTAAGGCTGACTCCTACATGCTTAAGCTTTAATTTGGCTACATCATCAGCTGGTATGGCTTCTTTATTAAATGGTAATGGCTTCATGTTAATGTCAAGCTGGACCTCTAAGTCAGAAGACCGAGTATGAGGCAAAATCATATGGTGCTTGATGTACTGGGGGCCTCCCAACATGGTCTCAAGTAAAGAGAGAGCTTCTAGGAATTCAGGCTTTGAGTTCATATCTTTCCTTGCTAAATTCCAAAGCTTAGCAGATGCCTCTTGCTGAAGGTAAGAACTAAGACGACTGCCTCTATAATCTGGACACTCAACACCAACTGTACCATCAAGAGTGTACAGTTCCTTGGTGAGTTCAAATTTACTTCTCTCCTGAGCTAGCTTGACAAACCCTGGACTCAAGGCAAAATCAATAAGCTCTATTGGAAAGTACTCCGAAAATGCCAGACCCAGCAGGCAGGTGGGCAGGTGTTCTGGATATTGGTTGAATTCAGGCATCTTTCTGTGAATTTCATTGATCAGGCTAGAATAAAATTCTTCTGTGTTGGGTGGCTTATAATTCAGAGTTCCAAATGACCACAGAATTTTGGCAATATCTTTACTGCGACAGTGCACTACTCTAGGAGGCAAAGAAGCAGCCACGGCATTCATTACTCCTTCATCCAGAAAGTGTAAAGCTGAGCAGGCAAGAGTCAGGTGCATAACACCCTGAACCCCCAGGGAAGGAATTCGCTGAGGAGCTATCTCTCCAAAGCGCTTCATGAAATTTACATGATCCACATGAGTGAATCTGAACATTTTAAGAATATGCACTAAGGCATGACTACTCAGATGCTCCATGTCAGCACAAGCCAAATCTCCAAGTTTCCGCATTACAAATTCAGAGAGACTACTACTTGACTTAAAGAATCCCAAACAGATTGTACCAACCTCCTCTAAGTTGATCAAATCTATATACTTAAGGATCAATAATTCCAGTTTTTGCATTAGGTCCTGAGGCACCTGTCGACTTTCACCTATAATATAAATTAAGTGAATCAGCTGGGACAAGGATAGATCTTTCCAGTGCAAATTAAGGTAACTAAAAAAAATTTTTAAAAACTGAGGTACTCTGAGACCTAAGCACCGCCAGAGATCAGCCACCAAGAGAAGCTGATTCAGACTCATCTCCCATACCTGTTGACAAAACCTGGTTTCATACACATCTAGCATTGAATGAGAGTGAGGAATTCCTAAACTAACAAAGGCTTTCAAAATACTGATTAGATCTGGAATATCAAAGACTTGTATATTTTTCACACTCAATTGGCAGAGCAGAGCAAAGCTGGTACTTGTCAGCAAAACAGGATGCTGTTCTGTAGGCAAAGAGCTCAGCTTACAGAAATAATCAGCAATGATTTGAGGTTGAAGGTTACTTTGATAAACTGTGACTTTGTGCAAAATTAGTTCGCCTTCTGAAACAGAGAGGGGCTGACAAGTCTCAGATCTGTTATAGCTGTGAAGCTGGTATTCTGGCCTTAGCTGTAGGAAAACTCGGGTGCCTTCAAAGGAATCAAAAACTTCTACATCCTCTTCATCAATTTTCATAGTCCTGGGTGAGTCCAGCTGCAACTTCCTGGCTTTAGAGGTAGAAGCTTTGCTGAATTCCAAACCCAGAAAGGCACTGCTGATTGTGAAGACCCTCTGAGAAAAGGTACCACTACCAACGTTCTTAACTTTTCTGGCAGGATGGCAGGAACTACTACGCTCAGGAGGGGCCTTTCCCCTATGTCGTATATTGCTTCCCATATTCCAATATGCCACACTTTGGGTGGCACTGTAGGCAAAAGAATCGCGAAATGCTTGATATTTTAAAGGTTTTAATAATTTGAGAGTAGCTGCCATTCTGATGTCAGTACTGATCTTTTTGGCAGTCAGAGCACAGTCCTCACAGGTTTGACCAAACAATTTCTTGTTTATATGATGCTTGATTAGAGCTGGACGGGGAGATGTTCCACAGAAACTGCCTGGAATCTTCGGCATATCACAAGAGTCACGGTTCACAAATGACTCAGCCCGAATTGGTGCCAGATACTGAAAAAAGGGTAGATGAAGAATGAGTGGCTTCCACCTATCACATAACCAAAATTTATACATTATAAGAAATAGAGTCAAACCACACTGTTATCCACTCAAGTTAGTCTACTGCTAGTGAATGCCCAAACAACAAAACAGAATGCTATCAAAGATAAATTGTGTACCTTGTATAAAGGCAGAGAAAAACCCCAAACCCAGGGTACCACAGAGTAGTTCCTAGACTGCTGTTCAGTCCACACTTTCTTCCTTTCAGAAGAGAAGCAGTGACAACTAGAGAAGACAGGTGCTCTACTAATACTCAATAGAAAGCTGAGTGAAAGTAAGCAATCATTCCATCTCTTTAATATCAACACAGAAAGATCACACTTGGAGAACAGAAAGTTTATAAAAACTGCCATGCATAAAGGAAAAAGTGGGATTTGGTATAAGATTTAACTTATACACAAAATAACACTCCCAATTCTTATAATACAAACTTTTAGTTACAAAATTCTGTTATTCTAACACTATGCCTATACCTTTCAGATGGTGACTGTTATCTCCAGAAGGATTTTTTTAGTTCTAGAGTCTGAATCAAGGAGTACTCTACCACTGTGCTACATCTCCAGCCCTTTTTGAGACAGGGTCTCACTACATTGTTCAGGCTGGCTTCAAACCTTCAATCCATGGGCCACTGTGCTAAGCACCAGGGGGCTTGTAAGAGAATCTGAATCACTAGTGCAAAGTAGTTGTTCAACCAGGAAGTATATTCAGAAATTCATGTTGAGCTAGGAGTGATTCAATGGCAGAGCACTTCCCTAACTGTGTGAGGCCCTGGGTTCAATCCCCAGTACTACTAAAAAAGAAAAAAAAATGAACATCATTTTACCATACTACCTGGCTACCATGTGGGGGAGCAGTGCAGCTTTCCTATGATGAAGGCAGATTAGCAACGCTTCTACTGAGACAAGTACTGAATCAAGTGCTGATTATATCCTTACTCTGCCTGTAAACAGTACAATTTTCATTTTTCTTCTATGGCAGAAATCATAGAGGCTATGAAACTGACTCTGCCATACTCTTGCTTTCCTTAATAGTTATTCTTTCTTTCCATTTAGGTGCCAAAGCCTAATAAGCAAAAACTGAGATCTGAGCTGCCAACTCATGGAGCACATAAGGCTATTCCACAAGGGTTGCAGAAAATTCCACAAGGGCTCTCAGGGGGTCAGAATGACTTTCTGAAATGTCTGCCCAATTCTGCTGTCAGGTCCTTTCTTCCAGAGCCCATAGCATAAGAACCACAACTATAAGGCAGGCCAGTGGCTATTATGGTAGGCAAACTACACAGGGTTCTCTTGGTGGCAGGAATGTATTTAATTTCTTTCTTTGTGAACTATAGCAGAAATCTTTCACAGTACATCTTTATACAGTTGGCTGCTGTTTTATTGGTTTGGTTTGGGCTTTGTTTTGTTTTGTTGTTGTTTGCAGTACTATGGCTTCTTCAAGCAGAATTTGGGACTTCAAGAGGTAGATTGCCAAATCTGAATCTATAGCATCTGACTCTAGGTTGAATCTCTTGGTAGGCAAAAATGGTCCATAGGTGCTGGGGTGGTGGTGCATGCCTATAATCCCAGCAACTCAGGAGGCTGAGGCAGGAGGATCATGAGTTCAAACCCAGTCTCAGCAACTAAGAGTAGCCTTAAGCAACTTAGCAAGACCCTGTTTCAAAAAATAAAAAGGATTGGGGATGTAGCTCAGTGATAAAGCACATGCTTAGCATACGTGAGGAACTGAGTTCAATCTCCAGCACCACCAGGGGAAAAAAAAAAAAAAAGAGGATTTATATGCCTTAAAATAGTCACTAAGAATCTCAACAGGGTAGCATAGGCATGAAGGAAATAAAAGACAAAACAGGTAATAGAACGCTCTAGTTGACAGAACAGGGCCTTTAAGAAAACCTGCTTGAGACCTGGAATTTAAATTTAGTCCAACACAGTATAAAACTAAAAGTTATACACATAAATCTATAGTCCTTCATCTCATCTGAATTCTTCAGAGAGCCTTCACAGACATAACTTTAAAAAAAAAAAAAAACTTTCTCTTTTTGATTTTTAACAAAATATCCATATAAAAACTGAAAACAAGTCAAATGTCCATCCAGTAGGAAGAGGCTGGTTTGCATGGTATGTTTGTGACAGACACAAGTACACACAAATATTCAACAGAGTGAATAATTACACAAATGAGTGCCATCACCTAAAACAGTCTTTTTTCCCAGTATTAGGGCATTTTACCCCAGCCCTTTTAGTGTTTTTTGTTGTTGTTGTTTTTAGATAGGATCTTGCAAAATTGCCAAGACTGGCCCCAAATTTGCAATCCTCTTTCCTCAGCCTCCTGAGTCACTGGAATTACAGGTATATGCCACTGTATGCGGCTTCATCTCCTTTTTTTTAAAAATATTTTTTTAGATGTTGCTAGACATTTATTTTATTCATTTATTTATATGTAGTGCTGAGAATCGAACCCAGTGCCTCAGACATGCTAGGCAAGTGCTCTACCACTGAGCTACAACCCCAGCCCCTCATCTCTTCTTTAGGAGTCATACTGAATTAGAGTGGATCGTTAGAGACCCTTAGACCCTGACATTTCCAAAAGGCACTGCCCAAACCACCCTGAATGATGTGATTTTACAAGGGTGAGGAATCTTACCTTTCCATCTTCCAGGTACAAGTCTGAGCAAGGCCAAAGAGCTTCATTTTAAACTATGGTCGAGAAGTTAGAAAAAGGGAGCCAGGTAGAAGAAGGCAGCCAAGCTAACTGTAGATTAAATATATGACACTCTCAGCATATACAGTTTACCAGTTGCCAGATCTTACCCCTCAGTTCTCATTATTTTTTTTAAATATATTTTTTTAAATTGTAGTTGAACACAATACCTTTATTTTATTTATTTATTTATTTTTATGTGGTGCTGAGGATCAAAGCCAGCACCTCACATGTGCTAGGCGAGCATTATACTGCTGAACCACAACCCCAGTCCATCAATTCTCATTCTTTTCCTAGAAAGGAAAAGATCTTCCTAAGTACCAATAAAATCACCATAAATAATGAATACTCCAATGCCACCACCATCACCTTTAAAAAAATTTTTTTTCCCCTAGTGCTAGAAATTGAATCCAGGGCTTCACGCATGTTAGGGACATATTCTACCACTGAGCTACATTCCCAGCCACCAACCCCATTTTTGTCTCAGCAAATAATTTGTTGAGCAACCAAAAAGCAAAAAGACATATTCTACCACTGAGCTACATTTCCAGCCACCAACCCCATTTTTGTCTCAGCAAATAATTTGTTGAGCAATCAAAAAGCAAAGAATTAACTTTCTCTAGGTGAATCCTACTGCTGAGAGCCTCCAAAGCTTTAAAAGCTCCCAGTCAGGGCTTACAGGTAGACAGTAAAGATACTCAGCTGTTAAGGAGGATATTAACTGAGCCAGAATTTTCTGCACTTCTGTTTTCATACAAGAGCAAGGCCTACAAGAGAAGGGTCTACTAGTACAAAGAAGGTTAAGAGTTAGTGTGAAGAAGGTGTCTAGGTTAAGGTTAAGTATCATCCACTAAGATAAGCCAAATCAAAATCAAGTCTAGCAACCCATCCCCTCCTTTTTGTTCTAGTTCTAGTGCTTATAGGAGAGACATTAGCACATCAAATCATTGTGAAACCTTTTTGCCTTTTATAGCCCTCCCTGGCCTTCTAAGATACCACTACTCTTCTATCAGAATGGCAAGAAGGGTGTGGGTAGAGATAGTCTGACAAAGCTGCAGATGATCTTGTCAGAGTCACTTCTTTCAAAGAATTTCATAAGACCCTATTTTTAGAAACTCTCTCCTCATGTAAGTGGAATAAAAGTTTTATGAATGGACTTTTCAAAAAAAGAAAAAAAAGAAAAAGAAAGAAAGAAAGAAAAGAAATCTCTCCATATAACAACAGGGAACAGACATTTGTGTCCACCAGAGAAAAGAGGAAATCAAGGCACGTAAAAAGAAGTATCCACAAAGTCATGAAAGAAAATTCCCAAGTAAATGGCCTGAGTACCTATTACTGTTAGTGCATGCTTGGTCTTACCTGGTTTTCCAATTTGCAATGTTTTGCTTATGCTTTTTAGTCAGGCAAATGAGGAACTTCAAAATTCTTTTATATCAAACTTGATTATTTACATGATGAATGGCAAGGCCTTGTCAGAAATCAGAAAAAAAAAAACACTAAACAGAAAAGAAAACCACACAGACAAACGAATATCAGTCTTGCATTATTCAGGACTCACTCTCTCAGCTGTATGATACAGCAGTGTTTTCATATTTTATTTTGGTCCACCAGGCAGGAGTAAATCATTCACGGGACTGCTCAAGGCCATTCAGGGCTATTAAGTGCAAAGCCAGCTGTTACTACTTAGCAGTGTGCCCAAACTGCAGAAAACATGATTGGAGCACAAAAACACCAGGCACTGTTGATACTAAAGCATTGAGCTATGATCTCCACAGGATGAAACACTGTCAATCGGTCTACACTGAGTAAGCAATGAAGTGCCACCTGAGAAGCCCAAGGTTTGCACCTGGTATACGGGTACCTGCTCAGTCAGGTCAGAGAGCCTTTGTCATGATATGCACACAAAAAAAAGATCAATTATTTCCCGTCCCTGGAAAGAAAAGAGGGAGGGACAACAATACTACTCTGAATTAGGCTTGCACAGCCAGAAACTCTCTGCTAAAATGGGAAAAAGGCATATATCAAACTGGTACTTAAGACTCACCCCACCCCAATCAAGTTCTAAGCAAAATACTCTAAGGCCTGGCTAATCCAAGCGTGGTCTGCTGGAAGCAGGTTAGAAAAAGAATTTCAGGCCCCACCCTGAACCTGCTATCTCCAAGTGAGGATGAAAGGCACGCCAAAAGGTCTCACTACATTCTCACAACAGCTCTGGGAGGCACGTACTGTTGGAATCTCCATTTCACCGGGGAGAGGGGAATCAAGGTTGCGGTCTCCTGCCCAAGGTCAAAGAACTCCGGAGTGGCGAGGGTCGCCGAGGTTCTCTCCAGAGGAGATCCTCTGAGAGTCGTCCGCGCATTGGCCGGGAAGCGCTGACCAGGGCCTCGACTGACGCAAGCCCTGGGCGGACCTGAAGGGCAGGAGGCACAGCCGAAAGCGAAGTCGGTCGCAGGCACACGGAGCGGCCGCCGTGACATCTTCCCGGGCTACCGCCACCACTCACCTGAACCTGGCGAAGGCGGGCAGCGCAACACCAGACTCTGAAGCCCGCCCGCCGCAGCAACACACTAACTCCTCCGACAGCACTCGGCCTCACATCCCAACTTCCGGCCAATTGCCCGCTACTTCCGCCTGCTGCACGAGCGACGGGTGCGGCACAGGCTCAAAAACCTCTGTTAGCGTTTTCCAAGGACATTTTTCACTGGAGGTTTTTGAGGAGGAGAATGAGGGAATCTAAGACCTGCAGAGGGAAAATACTTCCCCGAATGAATCGCTCTGGAAGTAATTGAGCAGCATAATCAGTTTCGACTCTCAGGACCTCGTTCAGGGTTTTATGGCCTTGGGGAATTCACGTAAACTCTCTTAGTGTCTCATCTGTACAATGAGGGTAATAGGGCATTTATAATAGAAATGTATCTGCAAAGTGCTCTCAAGAGAAGACTTAGTGATGGAGAGACGAGCTGTTGAATAGCTAAAACTTGAACCCAGGTGATATTACACTTCCCTTAATAAGGGTCTCATACCTGAATCGATTTGGGCACAAATCTTAGGCAAGAAAGAAACTCTACCAAGCCTCTACTTGTCAGGAGGGCCTGGCCCCAGACTGCCATTCTCGAGGGCACTTGAGAGCAGCTGATCAGGTTCTTTGTATCTTATCAGTGCCCGAGCTACTGATTCAGTCATCTTAAGTGCTGTGAAAGAGATATGAGAAAGCATGCTCCCTCCAGGGCACCAACTTGCAAGGGAGACAAAACAAATGTAGAGAAGACATAACCTTGCAAGGAGGAGCAAGCATGGCATCCCAACTCCTGAGCTTTGCCTGGGTGTGAACATTTGGGAACTCAGACTACTGGCACCACTGCTTAGGGGGCATTCTTTCAACAGATCAAACCAAGGAAAACTGTTAGCTGCTGATTACAACTCTGGCTTTGGCAGCAGAATCCAAACGGGAGGAAGTCCATCCCCAGGGAGTGATCCATAATTGCTCCAGGGCAATTGTGCCAGTCCCAAGCGCCTTTGCCAAAACTCAATTTCCCAGTCTCCCTTAAAGTGGGAGGAGCATGTGACTCATTTCTGGCCAACAAGATTTAAAGGGAAGGGTGTTGACAATGTTCTGCGAAGGCAAAACTAAAGCTTGGGTTTGGGCAGCCACCTTGTGGCAAGGAAGAAACAATAAGTTAGAATGGGAGAGTGGGAAGAAGAAAAGTGTAGGTCCACCATGATGGATGAACCTCCACTTCCATCTGTGATACCCACATCCATACTTCTTGTCTGATGAGAAAAAAATAAACCACTTATTGAAGTCCTGTAAGTCAGGTTGTATTACATATAACAAAATGCATTCCTTTTCTTTTTTTTAAAATAATATGGAGATTAAACCAGGGCTGCTTTACCACTAATCTACATTCCAAGCCCTTTTAAAATTTTTTTGTTTGTTGTTTTGTTTTGTTTTGTTTGAGATGGGATCTTGTTAACTTGCTGAGGCTGGCCTCAGACTTATGATTCCTGCATCAGCCTCCTGAGTTGCTGGGATTACAGGTATGTGCCACCCAACTCAATTGTGGGTTCTCTGAGGACAGAAGGAATTATAAAAGGATAGCTTACTGCTATACCACATGCTTGGGTACCTTTTGCCATTAACTGCAAATCTGTTCTCAGCCTTCAACTTATGTGTGTGTGCACCATGTGTGTTGGGGAATCAAACACCAGGGCTTCATGCATGCTAGGCGAGTGCTCTATCACTGAGTTATATTCCTAGCCTTTTAGCTTTCATTTCAATGCCCTCAACCATCACCAATCACCGTAAGATGGATCAAGTGACTGAAGGCTACAGCTTGCAACCTGCATTGCCTACCTTCTGACCAGCAGCCTGGTGTCCAGAATCTGAAGGCTACTTTGAAACCCTTTATAAATGACAGTCTTAGCTGAAGAGAAAGCCCCACTGGGCAAAATCATGGAACTATGACTCCTCTTGGACAATGTGGAGAAGTCTGGGCTTTGGGCCAACATCCTGGCATGGTCCGGTGAGCAACTCTATAGTCTCGTGCCTCCTCCTCTGGGAAATGTTTACTCCAGCTCTGTCCTCCCCATTTCCCCACCCTCCAGGCCTCACCTCCCACACCTGCAGACACAAGCAGGCCACAAGAATGCCATTCAAGAGGCTTTCTCCATTTTATTTCTTTGGGAAAGGAAAACAAAAGTCTTTCCATCACATATGGTAGAGATATATATTTATATATATTTATATATAATTTATTTTGTGGTTGGACATCCCAAAGCTGAGTCTGAGATATATATATATATATATATATATATATATATATATATATATATATATATATATATATATATATATTTATTTATTTATTTATTTATTTATTTTCCCCCTACTAATGCCTTCTTTTCCCAGCCCCTGTGGCCCAGGCCCAGGTTCTGGGGCAGGTACAGTGAGAGGTGAGTGGGATGGGCAGTGGTTGCCAGGGTGGCCTCACATGTAGCTCAAAGAGCTGGTGAGGACCCTCCAGAAAAGGCTGTGCAGAGGGTTAGAGGCCACATAGAAGGGCACTCCTGTTTTTGTGGGGGATGCACAGCTCATTAAACAGTCACCAGTCATGGGAGGAGGCTGGTCAGGGACTAGGGGACTTGATCACAGTAGTTGCCAGCTCTCTCTACCCTGCCCCCAAACTCTTGGGGGTAGAAGAGTGAAAGAGAGAAATACAAGGGCTGAGGGCCAAGCCTCCTCTGATTTTTATTGCTGGTGAATTAGAAATTTGCTTTCTTAGAAGGGAAATTACAAGTTCCCTTCCTATCTTGGGGAGTTAGATTCTGAGAGAGCCACCAGAGAAGGAAATGACATTGGCTGTCCCAACTCCTACTGATGGCCATGCCAGGCCTCCCTGGGCAAATGCTGAGCCAACTCAGAGCTTGACAAGGAACCAAGAGGTTAGTGTTCCTCTTAGGTCAGCCTTGTTCTTCAAGCGCAATTGCATCCAACCCTCCTGGCACCCCAAAACAAGGGCCTCGGACTTGGGCCAGTGGAGCTGGGAAGTGGGCAGTGCACCAAAGATCAAGCAGAATTTTCTACTAAAAGAAAAGTGAGACTCTGGGGAAGAGGCAGCCTGGGAAGATGATGTTCTGAGCATGAAAGCAGGAAACTAGGGGAAGTGAGTGAGGGAAGACACAGGAAGACATCACAGACACTCATCTGACCTCAGAAGCTGGGCAAGGGGAGTGCCTGAGAGGCAGGTAGCACTTAATAGCTGTAGTTAGAGCCGACAGTGGCCCTGGGTGTGGGGTAAGCCAAGCATCTGGGGCTCTTGCCCTGCAGGATCCTGGCCAGAAGGGTGAAGGTAGAAACCTCCAGATGACCCTTTGCAAGAACATGAGGAAAGATCTCCCTTGGACACTGAGCTTCCAGCCCAACACAGAGGGAATACACACTCAGGGCCAGGCCAGGTTCTGAGGCCTAAACCCAAGAGACCTTACGGGGGAGGGGCTGGGCAGGTAGCCCTCTCAACCACACAGGCAGGCCATCTGCTCCTACTTGTCCTGCCAATCTGCCCAAGGAGGGATAACACCACAGGAAGGAGAGAGGCCAGGAGCCCAGGGTCTGTTGGCCTTGGCAGACCCGTGCAGGCCCCCTCAGGCTCCACGGCCTAGGAAGTGAGCACAGAAAGCATCACTAGACACAAGTGGCCAACAACAGCAGCCCAGACTCCCTGAGGGTCTGGGGCATCTTATGGCACTGCAGGCCTGCTGCCTCCATCTCCAACAAGGGGCTGCCCAGAAAGGGGGCATGCTCCCTGCTGCCTGGGCTCTCATCCCTATGCACTCTGCCCTTTCCCCATTCTCTCCTTAAGAGGAGGGTCCGAGTGGCTACCCACAGGGGCAGTACTGGAACTGGGAGGGCATGAGGGGGCAGGGAGGAGCCTTGTCACAGCTGCTCTAAGAACCTCTTTGGTCTGGGGACATGGGGCACATTGGGAAGGGAAATGGAAGGGAGGGGAGACTGGGGACTCTGGCCTTGAGACAGGGCACTTGTCAGAAGGCCACGTGCCCAGGTGGAGGATCAGATTTCTGTGGACTCAATGCGTTCAAGGCGGGAAGGGGTCCAGGCCTTCTTCTCCTCACCATGTTGTGGGGTAGGAGTGCTTGCACCCCCTGCTGCCCCACGCTCCCGCAGCCTCCGTTCCAGCTGCTGGTTGCGCTGGTACATCTCCACATAACTCAATTGCAGCTGCTTCTGATACTCAATGACCTTCTCTTTCTCCTCCAGCCAAACGCGGCGCTCCTCTGCAAAGCTGGCGCCCTGGCGCTCCCGGGCTCTCCGCTCTGCTGCCAGCTCAGCCTGCAGCCGCCCCACCTCCCGCCTTAGGGCCCGTGTCCCATTCTCCCCTCCAGCATCCACCTCCCCATCCATGGAAACTAAGGAGGCAGCAGCTGCCACCCCAGCCTGACGGCGCATCTTGGCCTCATCACTTTCGCAGGTGGCCAGTGCCTCCTGTGGTTCGGCAGGGTCCACGGGGGTCAGCGCAGGCTTGAGGCACGTGGCAGGCAGCTCACCTTCACCCAACTCCAGGCTGGCCTGTTTGCTGCCAAAGGAGTCCCTCAGGCTGAGCAGCTGCTCCTCCTTCTCCCGCAGTGAGGCCCGGCCCTCCCGCAGCTGTGAGCGCAGACCCACAATCTCACTCAGCTTCTGGGATACATCAGCCTGAGAGTCCTTCAGCTGCTGCTTCAGAAGGGAAATCTCCCCGGCCTTCTGGCACACCTGGGCAAGGGCAGGTAGGAGAAGAAGCCAGGATAAAGGCAGAGTTCTGCTCACCCCAACCCAATCCCCATATCCAACACCAGGGCCACCAAGCTTCCCCAGGACTCAGGCTCAGCCCTTCATCAGACCAAGCAAGGATAACACACCGGCCTCCCTGCTGGACTCAGGACATACAGGGTTCATCTGACATCAGCCCAGGGACAGTTTCATGTCCTAATAGACCTCCAAAGTCAATCTGGTCCCTCTATTCCTTTCTCTCACCCTTTGAATAGTGGTAGGCTACTGCTCTGAGGTTCTCCAGAGGGTCAGAGGAAGGGGAGACAGAGGGGAAAGGACAGAGCCCCCCAGCCCGCACCTCCCACTTAGTTTCCTCCATCCGGGGCAGGAAGTCGGCCTGCTCCTTCTGGCAGGCGGCCACCTTGTCCTCTAGCTCTTCCCTCTGCCGCATCAGCCGGGCTGCCTCTTCCTGAAGTTGCTTCTTGTCCTGCTGCAGCCGCAGCACTTGCAGCTGTAGTCCCTGCTGGGCTCGCTGGGCACGGCGGGCCACCTGCTGCAGCTTCCCGCTGCAGCCCTGCCGCAGCTCTGCTAGCTCTCGCTCCCATGCCTTCTGCCTTTCCTCCAGCACCTGGGCCACAGCTGCCTCGCTCTGCTCCAGACTGCGCCGCAGAGCTGCCACCTCCTGCTCCTTCTCCCATAGCCGCTCCTCCAGCTCCTGGATCAGTGCACTGGGCGAGGGTGGTGAGCAGGCTGCAAATGGCAGGCCTCCACCTCCACCCTCCCCAGATCCCAGGTGGCTTGGCCGCCCCATGGATGATGATGACCCACTCTTGCTGGAGGCCCGCCCACTGTCAGAAGTCCCCAGGTCCTGGTAGCCCGAGCCCCCACCACTGCTGCCACTGCCATAGCTGGCAGTGCCGATGCGGTTGATGTGACTGGTGGAAGCACTGAGGGGCGCCAGGTGCTGGCTGTAGCTGGAGCTGTAGGTGGGCAAGCTTGTGAGTGAGTTCCGGCCTGAGTCTGAGAGGCCGCCCCCACTTCCGCCTGCTGGGGTCATGGTCCGAGACTTTTCCAGTCCACCCTTGAGGCCACCAGGGCCCTGTCGTCCCTCAGGGGTCCCATTGGTCTGTGGGGGACACAAATTCTGCATGGAATGGAAATTCTTGGGTACAACAGGCTTGAAGGCTGATGGCCGAACTAGTGGTTCTGAGCACTGTGCAAAAGCAAGGAAGAGCAGTGAGCATCAGAATGAGTCCTTGACCTTGGCTCAGCTTCTTCCCTTTAGCTGAGCCTTGTTCAACCCCACATCCTCCCCTTTGGGTTTCTACTTGGTATCTCCCCCAAGCCAGGTCCCTGTCCTGGATCCCCCAGCTGGTCTTGGCCTCAGGGCCCCACTCCATAGCTCTTTGGCCCAGCTTGCCTCCTGGCCCCTATGATCCAACCTCCAAGAAAGCCCTCTTGCCCATCTCTTTGAGTTACTTCCCACCCCAGAAAAAGGTTGTGACAGTCTCAGGCCCTAGAGACTGACCTGGTCTAGCTTGCCAGAGGTGGCCAGGAGCTTGGGTGGGTGGCTGGGCTCACGATACTGTGGTGGAGCCTTGTCACTGCCACCGCTGCTGCTGCTGCCACCGCTGCTACCCACCACATTGCCGCAGACATCTGTGTGGTCACTGCCCCGCAGCTCGCCGTTGAGGTAGAGGGAGTTGGCGAGAGCCTTGTCCTCTGAGGGGTATCGGCCTGGCCTCTCCCTGCTGGTCCCACTGCCACTGCCTCGGGGGCCTGGGAAACTGCCCTGGTTGCCCCCACCCCCTGTGCGGGTGCCCACGCTCTTCATGGCGAACTCTTGGGCATGGGCCACCCCACTGCCCACACTGCCCATGGCCAGGCGGGGGTCTGGGGGTCCAAGCTCAGAGGGCCGTGGGGCAAAGGCCAGGAGGGGATCCCGCCCTGGGTCAGCACGCACGGGCAGTGTCTCCAGCTTCGCCATGACTAAGCCAGGAGGGCACTGTGGGCACAGACGGGAAGGTAGAGAGGTCAGACCCCACCCCTATTCCCACCACCCCAGCCAAATCAACCCCAGCACCACCCGGCCCCTCAGTGTCCCCTTTCCTAATGTAGAAGAGTTCCCAGACATTCAAAGTGAAGGAATAGGAATGAGTAAGAGCAATAGCTTGGTAATGGGGGCTGCCTGTTGCCCCAGGGCACTCTACTCCTCAACCTGTGCTTCAAACCCACCTCAACCATAAGCCTCCCAGACTCATGAACCTCTCTTTGCTGCAACTCCCAGAATTTAGTTCTTTACCCTGGGTCAGGGCCTCTACATCTCAGCCTCAGTGGCTAGGGAAATGGGGTTGGGAGAGAAGTACCTGAATCCATTAGGGAACCTCAGAAGTTAGGGGAGGGCCAGAGACACAATAATTCTATTAAAAAATTGAAGGCAATGGTCTTTCCCAGCCCCCTACCCTAAGGTGTTGTAGTCAAGGGCGGAAGTGGAAGCTCACTACCAGCGCAGGCTCCTCTCCTTGCCTTTCCAAGGGAGTGGGGGGCCGATGGGTCCTCAAGCCTGGGACCCTCCGAGGCCCGGTCTGCAGGGGCCATGTGGCTGACTCTCGCAGTCGGGGCTCGGCCCGAACCAGCTGCGCGACTTTGGACGGGCCGACTGAGCCATCCTCTGCGAAATGGGAGGAATGAAGAACCTACCTCGCGGAGCTGCCGCTCGGCAGGTGCCCCGAGGCTGCGTGCACGGGAAGGAACCCGGTCACCAGGTTAGGTGGGCGGAGCTGCCCCTGTAGGATGCGCTGGCGTCGCGAGTGGGCGGCGCCATGGGCACTCAGACCAGACTGACCGAATGCAGGCCGAAGCTGCAGCAGGTGGCAAGGGAGGTCTTCCCAATTCGTCTGTAGCGAAAGGGACCCCGAAAGGGACCCCCTCCCCGACGTCAGTACTACAGAGGCCCCCAAGCTGACAGAGGCCAGGACTGGAAGGCAGTGCTGCGGGCTTCTGGCGCTGGCCGAGCCTCCCTGGGGCCTACATCTCCCACAGGTGGGGTGGGGGGCGGCCTTTGCACTCCATGGTGCTCCAGAGGATCCTGCACCTGCTGAACCCTGCCAAGAATGCACTGCCACCAGGAAGACTTCCTGGATTGCCCCCTCCCCCGCTCCCTGTGGACTTTGATCCTGTTCAGTTCACCATGAAGTCAATTCTGTGGATGTGCGCCCCCTCCCCCAAGGCAGGCCGGCAGAAAGAGGGGGAGCAGGGCCTCGGATTACCTGAGCTCAGGCAGGCCTGATTTCCTGGTTCCTTTGTCTCAAGTCTGCACCTGGGAACACCTGTCACAGAGATCTACATAATCCAGCTGGACAGGGGCACTAGGGTGCTAGCAGCTGGCTAGATGGCTCAAGATGGCTCAAACTCTAGTGCCTTTCAGGCCTTTAAACCTCCTGCCCCCACCCAGGTTCAACCAGAAACTGGGCAGGAAGCCCTCCTTCTCTATTAAGTGAAGGAATCCAACCTCCCTTTGAGTGTTCTGTAGACTGTCTTCTAATGATGTCCAGTGTTAATGTTCCCAAACAAGGAAGCCTGGTAAAACCCTTGCTCTTCAGGATCTTCAGGCCATATCAGCCTTAGATGGTGGGTAAGTTCACCGCCAAACTGGTCTATTAAATGGAATGTAGCATTCCATTCTCTCAGTTTTTCCCCACAGGTGTGGAGAACAGCAAATTTTCACCACCCTCATCCCTTCTGCAAGTCTATCCCCATAACCAGCAGTGGCACTAAGCTGGGCAAGAGAGGCATATAGGGCACAAGTGAAGTGCAGGACGTGCAGGTACACCCACAACCCTGAGAGTGAGGCCTCTTTTGCCTCACCCTAGTATCTGCCTCCACTCCCCAGCATACTCCATCCTGGCTGCTACTCCTTGGCTTTGAAACCCCTCCTACCCTAAACATGGCCCCCTTCTCTCAACATCACTGGGTGACGTATAGGAAGCAGCTAGAATTGGGAGGATGGTTGCTGAATGGCCTGAAGCTTGAAACCAGTGGGAAGGCCTAGGCAGGGTTTGGAGAAGAGAAACTGGCAAAGCCTCATACAGCTGGGTTTCAGGTAGTAGGGACAAGGGAAATGTCTGGGTTGGGGCACCAGGGGGGTAAAAACAAGGAAAGAATCTGAGCTGAAGCATAAGGGTGGGTGGGACACCCTTAACATAATGGGGAAATTGCTTGAGAGAAATAGGTCTTAAAATAAATTTTAAAAAGTACGTGTGTATGTGTGTGTGTGCGCGCATATGTGTGTGTGTGTGTGTGTGTATGTGTATATATATAGTTGTAGGTGAATACAATACATTTATTATTTATTTTGTTTTTAAGTGGTGCTGAGGATTGAACCCAGTGCTTCACCTGAGCTAGGCGCGTGCTTTACCACTGAACCACAACCCTGGCCCTGAAATAAGTCTTTTTGAGAAGACCAGAGAAATAATTCTCATGCACTGAGTGGAGCGAAAGACTCGAATCTTCAGCATACAAGGGCGGTGTGGGTGGGCCCAGCCTTCAACTAAGGCAGAAGAGCCCCATAAGTCTGGGTGACAGTGTGGGAACTAGAAGGCATCTAGGAGAAGCTGGGCCCTGAAGGCCAAGACGGGGGACTCAAGAATGTGGGGCCAAGCTAGATGCAGTGGTGTACACCTACAGTCGCAGCTACTCAAGAGGATCTCTTGAGCCCAGGAGTTTAATACCAGTCTTAGTTTTGGTGACATAGCGAGACTCCATCTCAAAAAAGAAAGAAAAACAGGGGACGTGGGGGCAGCTCGCAGGGTTAAAAAGAAAAGGGACAGGTAAAAATTGGGATTACAGAGTGTGCCCTGGATTTGGCAGTTGAAGATATCACTGGTGTATGTCAGTAAGAATGGCTTCAGAAAAGTAGTACAAGGGAAAAGCAGACCACAGGAGTGGAGGGGTGCAGAGAGATGAAATGGCAGAATTCCCTGCTAACAGAGGCCAGAGAACACCATTATTTAAGGAGTTTTGGAATCTCAATGTTTGTTTTCTTTTTTAATTTTAAAATTAAACATGATAGAAACTTGAGTGTGCTGATATGCCAAAGAAAGGCACCACTAGTAAAATTAAAAATCTAGGCAGGGAGCTAGCAAGGGGGCTGCATCAGAAGCCAGGGATGAATAAGAAGAAATCTCAGACATGATAATGTTGATTGTGAGTGACAGGGCTAATGCTTGGGAAGGTACTTTCTAAACCGTAAGGTACAGCACAAACATGCAAAACCACCTTCTTTGAGATCTAGGAAAAAATAATCTGACCATAAATTTGAGTTGGTCATATGCCAATCTGCCCCACTCTTTCTCTAGACTGTGTGTTATTTCCCACTAGGTTCACATGCCCAGAGCTCTAGATAGAAATGACACTGTCCTGAACCTTCTTTCCTTGTGCTGTACCTGGGGAATCCTTGATTGTCATTCTACAGAAGCTCTCTCTGGAGCCCAAAGAGCTTCTTGCCATAATTCTACTCTGTCATGGTCAACCTCTTGCAAGTGTTCCCTGCTCCCCTTTCCTCTCCCAAGATTAGACTGCTGCTGGTACTTTCCTCAAAAACCTGACAGGGAGCTGGAAGGACAAGGAGTTGGGATATTTTTTACTGCTAAGAAGGAATTAAGCTGAGAGGAAGGGTTGTGCTTCCTTGTGGGTCAGGGTCTTGCACTGGCCCAGGTAACAGTGTGATCTGAAAAGAAAGCTTCATGGCATCGAACCATGTCATTGAACCACGACAGCCTTGTTTCCACACTCTGCCTCTATCTCTGTCTTATTAATACTCAATGCGTGTGACATTACAGTTTAAGTGGTCACAGAGGGACCTACGAGTTACACAGGAAAGTCTCTCCAATCCATAGAAACCACCTCGATCCTCACCACCTGTATTCCCCCAAAGCTAGAACACTTGAAGTCCCAGAGGTCCCCAAGTCCAACTCAGTCCACCTGCTAAAGATCTCAGCAGCACCTCCTGCCAGCACCTTTGCTGAGTCTCCTCAGTGGCCCTTCTTCTGCACTCCCTTCTTGAGCTGCAGCCAAGAGACTCTTTCTAAAGGGCAAAGCCATTCATGTTCTTATTCTGCCCAAATCCTTCCATGAGCTGGGTCAAGTGCAGAAGATGGAGTTCTGGCTCCATCAGCTCCAAGTGTAAATCACAGCTCGACGGATTGGAGTGGAACCAAATGTAGGTTGTTTCACCTCAGATTCTCACATTTACCTTGCAGGAATTTTAAGAAGCAAATATATTAAGGGCAAATTGCTTGATATTCCTCTTGGTCCCCAGAATCAAGCAGAGCTTGCAGCAGTGTCCCCAAGGTCCCTCCTGATGCCCATCCTTTATCTTCCTTGACCTGAGCTCCTCTCCACTCCACATACAACCTCAGCTCTCTGTGCTCATCCTATAGCCTTCTAGAATCAGTCCAATTGCTGTCAATACAGCATCCCTGATATATCTCAGGGGTCTTGGAGCACTTAGCTCAGGACACCCCAGGACAAAAATGAAAGAGTCCTCAGGGTTTCTGGGCCCTGGCACCAAGAAAATGCAGGGTGAATGCCTATGGGAACGCTAGTTATGAGCAATGCAAATAGGTAATGAACACAGGCAGAGAAACCAGGAAGGGCTACCAGGAAGAAGGACTGAGGGAGGAAAGGGATCCAGGGGCACTGTAGGGCTCTAGGGGTACAGAGATCTCCAGAACTTCTTGGTTGGGATGTGTGAGGGGAGATCCATCTTCCCTTGGAGGCATGGACACTATCCTGGCTCTGTTGAAGCCCATGTTTCAGGACTGGGGGGGCCGACAGCACACCCCCACACATACCCGGAGCTCACACACGCGCGAACACACGAGCCTCCACTGGGGGTGGGGGTCGCCATTCACCAGCAGCCCACAGCGCACAGCGCCAACAGATAGAGACCCCAGCCACAGGCCATCCGCAGGGGTGCCCAGGGGGTCTCTGCTGTGGGGAAAATCCCGCCTGCACCTCCTAGGGCTACCCACCAACGCGTGTGGCCCTGGGGGGCGGGGCGCAGAGGGAAGAGGTGACATAATCCGGACCGCACCCCCTCCGGCCGCCCTCCCCCCCCCCCAGGCCGGGCGAAGCATCCATGACATCATTGGCCTCCTCTACATTTCCCCTCCTCCGCCCCCGGGACCCTAGCAGCGGGACGCGACCCCTCCCCAGCTCCCAGTCGGGACAGACGCGCCGAGCCGTGCAGCAGGCACGGCGGCAGGTTGGAGCCGAGAGGGGCGACGCGGTGGGCCTGCCTCACTTACTCGCTGCCCCAGGGTTCGGTGTAGGGTCTCCGACGCGGGCGCCACGGGCCCGGCTAGCTGGCGCAGCCCGAAGCCCGCCCGGCGGGGCGCGCAGCGCGGGCCCGGCTCGGCTTCGCGCCCCTCCCGCTCTCCGCCCGGGCCCCGCCCACCAGCGGCTGCGGCAAACGCGGGCCCGCCCCCGGTCACGCCCCCCGGGGCCACCAATCCCCGAGCTGGGGCGGGGCACGGTGATTTAACCCCTTAGTCTCTGCGTCTCCGCCCGCACGTGGGATCCCTCCGTCTCACCAGCTGCAGGATGCTTAATAGTCTGCCCGAGTTCCTCGGTTTGTCATTTGTCACCCGTCCTCTCAAGTCCTTGGACTTAGTGCCCCAGTCTCTCCTAACAAATCCTGTGGGACTGCGCCGTCCTTGAATCTAAGATTTTGCTATGGGAGATGAGCTCCTCTAATTTCGAAAAAGGGATCCCAATTCCGAGCCCCAAACTCCCATTCCTCTCCGGCTTTGAGGAGGCGGCCTCCAAGCGGACGCATTTAGACCTTGAAAGACTACGTGGTTGGGGCTCAACGAGCCATTGCGGGTGTGTCCGACCCAGCCGCCCGCCAGGTCACGGGGACCACAGGCAGGATCGTGGGAAGCTCGAGGGCCAGTAACTACGTCAGCCTGCAAACCCAGAGGATTTGAAACTTGCTGCTTTCGAAGGCTCACGGTCTCCAAGGTGCAATGAGGAAAAATATGCATTACATACCGGCAGGGTGTGAGCGCTTTCACCTTGTGCGGGGTCCCTCCCTGATGTAAGGCCCGGCCCAAGTCCCTGTGTTGCATCCCTGAGTGAGAAGGAGCAGTGGCAGGGACTTCATCCCTGACCCAGAAAGCCAGCTTCCTTCACTGCGGGGAGTGCTCGATGACTTGGGAGGACTGCTGGGAGTAAGGAGTCAGCCTTGAATTGTGGCCTTAGCCTCGCTTAAGTGTGGCGAAACAAGTTAGACCTAGGGTCAGGCACTAGCAAAGCCTGGAGGCACAAGGGTCTGAGGTAAAAACCGCAGCTCCTCCACTCTGGCTGGGATTTAACCCATTATATTTCTGCTGCTATAGCTGATGTGTTTGCTCATTCTATTTTGTAATTTTTATTTCTTGTTGTTTTAAATTTTTTCCCCACATTTGCTTTTATTTTATATAGTGGTTTTTAAGGCAAAAACCTTGTTTTTAGTTTTCCTAATGAATTCCTTTAAATTTATTTTTATGTCACTATATGACGAATCATTCCTTTTATATTATTTATGTAAAGAGAAATATTAAATGTTTTCGAATGTCACATTATTGTATGTATTTGTGAGGTTGTAATAAGAAATTGAATGTGCCTTTGCCCTCAAACCTATTTATATTTGTCCACTTTAGTCAGGATGACAGACCTTCCTTTTGCACTTTTTTTTTTAAGAGAGAGAGTTTTAGTTCTCGGTGGACACAACATCTTTGTTGGTATGTGGTGCTGAGTATCGAACCCTGGCCGCACGCATGCCAGGCGAGCGCGCTACCGCTTGAGCCACATCCCCAGCCCTCCTTTTGCACTTTTTAAGCCAAAATATATATTTTTTCCAGTGGTAGAAGGTTTGCCTATTATGCAGGAGGCTCTGGGTTCCTCCCAACCCTACTTTTGGGAATAGAATTCAGGAACAAGGGTGCTCCACCATTGATACACATCCCCTTCTTAAACATGTTTCTTTCTTTCTTTTTTTCTTTTTCTTTTTTTTTTTTTTGTAACAGGGATTGAACCCTGAAGCCCTTAGCCAAAGGTCTCACGAAGTTGCTTAGGATCTCTCTAAGTTGCTGAGGCTGGTTTTGAACTTGTGATCCTCTTGCTTCAGTCTCCCTTACAGGTGGGATCCACTGCACTTCTTTGTACATTTTTTTTGTTGGTATATTATAGTTGTACCTAATAATGGCATTAGTTCCTGCATATTCATACATGCACACAATATAATTTGTCCAGTATCACTCCCCAGCAATAAATCAATACATAAAATTTATTTTTACATAAGGTCTCATTAAATTGCCCAAGCCATCCTGGAAATTGCCATCCTCTTTCCTCAATCTCCTGAGTTATCTGGGATTACAGGTGTGCTACACCATACCTTATAAAATTCTTGAGTCTCAAACTCTTCCCCTCAAAATTTTCTAGTCCTGATCTCCTGTCTTCTAGCACTGAAAATGGTAGCAAAACTGGGCTTGTCTTGTTAAGGAAAGTAAATTGGTGCTTGTAAGGGTTTTTCTTTAAACTCAGAAGTCAAACCTGTTGCCTGTGTAAGTCTCTGAGGGCCTTTGCCTATTAATTTTCCAGAAACAAAAGATGTCTTTTCAATTTAGGAAAGTCTGTTAATGTGTTCCTATCCATTTTGTGAACAGATTTTTTTTTTTCTTCCTTCCCTATCACATTAGACCTCCACTGTCAAATCTCTGTTCTGTTTATCTACATCCTGAAAGAGTATTTCAAGGTTTTCTTCACTATCATAGACTTAATTTCCTTCAGAGTCAAGTGTACTGTTTGTTTCACCAGTAAGACATTTGATTCTGCTATTTAATTTTTCCTTTCATTTCAGCCAATTTCCATTCCCCCTCTAATTTGATCTCAACTTACTATCTTACAGTTCTCTGTTTCTATTTTATAGAAAATGTGGTTTTCCATCTTTAGAAAAATATCGGAAAATATTTTTGTTCTAATGCACAGAAAAACCTTGCTAAAGTTGGCAATTTTCTGGAAAAAAAGAACTACAAAAATAAAAAATATTTTGAAAATATCATCCCAGAAATGTCCAAAAAGGCTCTGGGCTCAGGTGGTTTGATAGAATAAACCACTTAGAAAGAAACTTCCACTGATCAGATCATCCTCACCTTGTAAATCTGTACAAAAGCTCAGGGGGGAAAAAAAAAAGAATTCTATTCATTTTGTCAAGCCATAATTCCCCTTATACCAATACCTGATAACAACACAGAAAGGAAAGCTACAAACCAACCACACTTAACAGTACAGCGGGGAAAAATCCTAAATACAATTCAAGAAAACACAATGTTATTGTATATGAAATCAATAAGCTATGAGTTTGTCAAATGAGAAAAAAACAAATAAAAGAAATCATTCAGCTGGGTGTGGTGGTGCTCACCTGTAATCCCTGCTACATGGGAGGCCAAGGGGATTACAAATTTGAAGACAACTTGTGCAACCTGCTGAGACCTGTCTGAAAATAAAAAAGGGGCTGAGAGTGAAGCTCAGTAGTAGAGTGGCCCTGAGTTCAATCCCCAGTGCTACAAAGAAAAACAGCAATTCAGTTAGGTGTGGCGGTGCACACCTAAAGTCTGTTATTCAAAAGGCAGGAGGATCATTAAGCCCATAAGTTCAAGACCAACCTGGGAAACATAGCAAGACCCCACTCCCCAAAAAATAAAAAAGAGGGCTGGGTTGTGGCTCAGTGGTAGAGCGCTTGCCTAGCATGTGTGAGGCACTGGGTTCAATTCTCAGCACCACATGTAAATAGATAAATGAATAAAATAAAGGTCCATCAACAACTAAAAAATACATCTTTAAAAAATAATCAGAATAAGGTTCTGAGGAATGATACTAATGAATGCATTGTAAAGAAGTGTTCTTTTTGAATTACCTTTTCCTTTTCTCTTCCAGTTTTATCTTTTATGTTACATGATTGGTTTGAATAACTGATACATATTTTATAATTTTAAGTATTTTGATTCTAAAGCAACATGTTTTTACGTAAGCATGAAAAATGATTATTTTTAAAAAATCACAACAAATCACCAAGGAAAATCATTGTTTTGCTTTATTTTTAAATCATTTTCATTATTTATGTCATATATGTGCTACATATAACCATATAAAACTTTATGCTTTTCATACATTAATGTAATATGTGGTATCTATTGCATGTTTTAACTGGTTATATATATATTATTTCACTTAATATTTTAAGTGAAATAATATATATATATATTATTTCACTTAAAATATATATATTTTATTGTATATATATATCATTGTATATATATTGTATCATAGGGTTTTCATTAATGATAAAATATTAAAGGAAACCCTGATTATAATGAATGCATGTTAAATAAATTTTTTTTAATGCATGTGAAAAATAAAACCTATCAAATTATTTGGGAGGCTAAAGCAGCAAGATTACACTAAAAAACAAACAAACAAACAAACAAAAACCTATCACATTAACAAACACTACTAGAAGGGAACTTGGGGCTTCTCTAGAATGTCTGTGAAGTTACCCCTGAATACTAAATTGGGGGCATATGAGGCACTTTATGCTAAAATTTGAATGTTTGTAATTGGGCTTCTTATTTTTTGAGACTCAGTTCCACTACGTTGCCCAGACTGGTCTTGAATGCCTGGGCTCAAGTGTTCCTCCTGCCCCAACCTCCTGAGTAGCTGGGTCTACAACTCACCACACCCAGCTTATACTAAAGCTTTTTACAGCTCTGCTTGCTTTATGAGAAAATGAATATCTCCAAAATTGGGCCAAAGATTCCTGCAAATTACCAGTAAAGGCTTGTGGGTTATCTAAACCAATATATAAATGTGACTGCAACGGTTATGATCCAAGTATGCTGAGGTCTTTTATAAGCTGTTTTATGATGATAAGCTGCGCGCGTGGGCAAGCACACACGTGCACACACACGGAACAGGAAAAACAAAAATTAAAGAAAAAAGTAAATTTACTAATAACCATATTCTCCTTCTTACCTCTACTCTTTACTAATGACATATTTTTACCTAAAATACATGGTTTATGCTTACGTTCCCTAGAAACCCCCATCACATTATATGTTGTTTCTATAATTGATGTGTTGTTTTATAATACTAAGGATTCATCGGTACCTATATACTTTAAGCCTCATTGCAAGTTATTAAATAAAATGTAAAGAGAAGCATCAGTCACCACCCCAAGTGTGTTCTATATACTCAC